GAATTGATAGCTATGGGAGCAAGCTTAGACTGTTTAACTTTCTTGTGATTCTTTGCTAGTTAGGGTTACAATATATATATACATATAATTTTGTTGTTGTAATTTTTCTTTCTCTTGAATATATACAGATTGTTGGAACCTTTATAGCTGGCACCATAAATATGGCGGTGGCCTGGTGGCTACTAACGACCGTTCCCAACATATGCCAAGACACTTTGCTTCCTCTAAACAGTCCCTGGACCTGTCCGAGCGATCGCGTGTTCTATGACGCGTCAGTAATATGGGGCTTATTAGGGCCGCGGCGAATTTTCGGGTCAATGGGACGTTACAGCGCCCTCAACTGGTTCTTCTTGGGCGGCGCAGTGGCGCCCGTTTTGGTTTGGCTGGCTCACAAAGCCTTCCCGAAACAACATTGGATCAGCCTTATAAACTTGCCGGTGCTCCTCGGAGCGACAGGGTTGATGCCGCCGGCGACAACCTTGAACTTCAATAGCTGGTTGCTTGTCGGAGCAATATTTAATTTCTTCGTGTTCCGGTATAGGAAGAATTGGTGGGGGCGGTACAACTATGTTCTTTCGGCGGCGTTGGAAGCAGGGCTGGCTTTCATGGCGGTGATCTTGTACTTCTGCGTTGGCATGACGAATGTGAGCTTTGATTGGTGGGGAAGTCAGGGAGAGCACTGCGATTTGGCTTACTGCCCAACCGCACCTGGAATACAAGTTGATGGATGTCCAGTTTTTTAGTTTAAATAGTTTCACTGTTAATTAGGAAATACGTACTAACTTGTTAGATTCGTGTGCTTCTTATTTTATTCTTAATTAGTTTTCTTTTTTTTAGAGATATTAAGGACTCTTTAAGAGTAGGCTAGTAGTTCGTAGAATATAAAATTCTAGGGAGTAACATTGTAAATTTTATCCGATCTATTATACTATTTGATCCTAAAATATCAAATCCAATCCAACCTACATAAGCCAAAGGATGATATAGGGGCGCGCGTCGGATGCCCAGAACTAAGTACTAATCGTAATCGTTCATGTGTGTATCCATATTTAATAGATCAAATGTAAAAAATGTGATGACATTTTCGTAAATAATTCAAATTCTGGTGCAAGTAATATGTGTTAAAGGTGTAATTAACTGGTGCAAGTAAAAAGTATAAGTAAAATCACTTTAAAGTGCAATCATTTTCACTTAATTCACTTAAAAGTGTATCATTTTCACTTAATAGTGCAAGTAATTCACCTTTTAAACATTGATGCACCTAATGATAACGTCTTCCACATGGGTGCACTTGATGATAACGTTTGCTGCAACTAATGAGAACGTTAGGTGCACTTAATTGATGCTAAGTGTACATTATTTGTACAAGTCAATTATGTTAAAAATGCAAGTAACAAATTTATACAGTGCACTTAAATGCAAGTAAAATGTATTAAAAATGCAACAAATAATTAATATACACTAAGCAAATAAATTGGACATGCCATTGCTTACCCATCCATCTCCTGCAATTCTTAAGAACGTTAACCATTGTTCCACTTACATACTCCTCCATGTCCCGCTTGTTGAGCCACTCAACAATATTCTTAGCATCACATTCAACTTGCACCTGTCTATAACCACTCTTTCAACCTTGTGCATAATTATTTAGACAAAGCACAGTTACGTTGCCACGTTGGTGCATGTTTTTAAAATTTGAAGAATTGTACTGCGTACTAGCTAGCTCGGTTTTAAACATAAATTAGTAAAACTTTTTTAAAAAAGGGTCATCATATTCTTGATCTTTCTTTACAATGAATAAACAAATCTTTTGACCAGATTCAATGTACTTCACAATAATTAATCCTTGAGAAAATGATAGGAATATCAACTTGTCAAGACCTTTCAAAATATCTCCATGACCTTTACCTAATGATAAAAAAAAAAAAAATCAAAATGATAAAAATTAATCAATAAATATTTCTAGATCGAACATCATAGATACGTCCATTAGCCCATAGCCCCACTATAACAATTAAATTAAAGATAATGCCCTACTGCACAACTTTATCAGAATTGATTGGAAAATGATAATTATAAAAATTTAAATTTAGTTTCACAAAAATTGACTTTTTTAATTTGAACTGGTTATTTATAAATAATTTAAACAAATTTATCTCGTTACACGTGTAGTGATCTTTTGTGTAAATTTAAGATAATGTCTTGCAACGTAACTATGAAAAAAGAGTAGTTGATTAGGTGGGGCATGGGTGCATAAATCTCGTACTTAAAGATCACGAGTTTAGTTATTGCCAACATTTGGTTTAGCTTGTTGCACAAGCACTTTCTAATGCAGTGTCTACTGTCTAGTGGGCTGGGCTACGCTATTGGAAAGCAACATATAATCTTTACTCAAGGATGTACGCGGATCAATTTCACTTTTATATAATTAGGTTGCACATTTTATTTGTATGGAACTTATTTAAGTTAACATTAATATGAACATATCATTGAGATTTTGTATTATTTAATTTGATTAATAAACTGGATTAAGTCAAAAATATATAAAATTTAATAAGAACCAATGATGCATGTTAGTACATTTTTAACTGGAATAAAAATTGTGTTATTAGTATAAGTTGTATTAACTATTAAGTGTTTATTATATTTTATATGTTATTTGTGTTATACCTATACATTTTCTTTCCATTTGACCGTTCACATTTTTCATTTTGACTTTTCTTTAACATTAGTGTTTAACTGAAAATTTAAAAAATTATTAATAATTAAATGTCATTAAGTTCATTGGTGATGTACATTTATACTTTATAAATTATATCCTTAATATTTTATATTTTGTCAATTATACTCTTACCATGTAAAGTATAAATACATAACTTAAGAGTCTCTCTTTCATTATTATCTTACTAATTTACTTGATCTAGAATAAATGCATTATTGTATTATTGCCAATAGAACATTATTGCATGTTTTATTTATTATGATATCAATTTTTTTATATTTTTTATTTTGGAAAAGGTTATGATAGCAATTTTTTTTTTTTTTTGAATGCTGAAACTCTAATTATAACAAAAATAAAAATTATTATAAACAACTATTTGCATTTGCAAAAATATATAATCATTTTGAAACACAATATCTACTAAATTTAATGTGATTTAAAAAAAATTATGAGATATAATATTTTTTTTTGTCATCAAAAATTAAAGTTTAATTTTGTAATAGTTATAAGATTTATGTGTTTATTTATTTACTTCAATAATACCATTTACGTATCTTTTTGATTTATCGAACATTTTTCAATTACAAACCATACTTAGTTTATAACTAGTTAAAGATATTTATGTGAAAGGGCATGATAAAAAACAACAAAATTTGAATAATTTATTATCTAAATAATCACTTATCACTTTATAAAGTATTGAATGGCATATAAACAATCACTTATCATCAGTCAGTATTCTATGTTTTTTTTTTTTTTTTTTTTGAAAGATCAGTATTCTATGTTTTTATTCATTTAGTTTGGATGTGTTTTGATTATTTTAATATTATTTCCAAGGCCGTAAGGATACTTACGTGTTTGATTGTGGTTAGTTTGTCTGGTATTCATGTCAAGGCAATTAGGCAAATCACAAGCTTTGTCTAGAAGATTAGTATAATCACGTACGGCTTCCTCTAATGGATCGGCTCGGCTTAGAAGGCTTGGCTATTAATTAATACAGCCATGGTGGGTAGAAGACTTCAGACAAATAGACAAGCCCAATTATTATGTGAATATATGTATGCTTTCAATTGTTGACAAATGTGGTTTTTTCTTGGAAAATAAAAAATGAAAAAATAAGTTTTAAATGTGAGGCAAAACAAATTATTTTAAAGCAATTTAATATGTCGATTAACACTAATGTCTTTTACATCAGTCACAATCTAAAGGTGAATATGATTTTTTTTTAACTTAATCCTGGAGCAACTCATCAAAAGTGTTTTGCATGATATGTCTGTCATATTCTGGTGAAGGATTATGGTTACTAATATTGAGTATCGGGTCTTATTTCTTTGGGGTTTGCACCTCCAGACGTAAAAAAATAAAAAGTATGTGACTATAAAAAGTTTTGAGTTTGTGCCATATTCTATATTATTTAAAACTCTTTAAATTATATGCAATATAAGATACATCTATAATTTTTATTTTTTATTTATTTATTTTTAGATCAAGATGGAGGGGAAAACCCCATGAACGAAGAGTGGGTTCCTCTCGTGCACTGCACAGACCCAAGTTCGACCTAGTTTGTCTTCTTCAAGTAGACCCAACACTATATTAGTCAGCCGGTGGCGCCTTGAGTTCTTTCCATAGCTCATGAGTGCCTCTTGCGAGTTTAGTAAGCCAGTCTGCCACAATGTTTTGCCTACTTAGGACATGCAAAGCGTGATGTTCCAGTCTTTGTTGAACCCATGCTAGCAGTTAACAATGATATTTCTCAAGTGACCTCTAAGAATAGAATCACCACGAATCTACTCAATGACTTTCTAAATATCTATGGATGAGCAATTGTCTAACACCAAAACGCCAAGCCCATTTCAAGCATACATTCAGACTAATTAGTAAACTTTTTCACATTATTTTATCTATAGTAATTGATTAAGAGAGCCGCAACTTATAAAAGTAGTCTTATTAGTTTAGGTTTTTTCTTGATTTTTGCAAGTCCAATTGAGAGTCAAGGAAGAGGGGAAAAAGAAAAAAAAAAAAAAAAAAAAAAAAAAAAAAGAAATTTTGACAAAGATAGCTTCTTCTCTCACCATGTGAACCCCATAAAATATCTAACTCTTGCAAGGAAGACCCTAATTTTATCTCTTCTATACCCTCTTTTCTCTATGACTTAATTGGCAGCTCGAGCCGTTTAAGCCAAATTGGCAGTTCGAGCCGTTTAAGCCAAATTGGCATAGAGTATAGAATTAAAAAATTCCTAGTTGGGTGAATCAGTTACAGCAGGCAAAGCAGTTTCCCAAAGGAAAAGCCAGTACCTTCTTAGCAAATCCAGATTGTTCATGACATAATTCCTTTTGACGGGGCACCATTCTGCGGCTTCCCTGCCCATCGTTCCTCGCGGCCGCCCTCTCGACGCCGCTAGGCCCGAGACTGTGACCTAGACAGGTGCTGCGTTTCGGTTGGGCGACGCCCGACGGGAGAATGCCCTATATATACAAGTCCGTCCTCTTCTCTATTCCAGATTTTTATTTCATGCCTCGGTCTCAGCGCTTATCTCCGCCAAACGTCTTTTACGGTTAGGTATGTAATTCTCCGGTCTCCATTGATGAAACGTATTCTCCGTTGTTCATTGATTTGCAGTCATGATTTTCTGATTTTTTTTTTCCTGGAATTCTTCGATTTGCTTGACGATCTGTAGCTCAGTTCATATTGTAATGCATGCGTGTGTACAGATAGCCATGAATTGCTAGTTGATTTACTGTTTGGTTTCTGAGATGAATGAGTTTGGTTTGCGAGACAGGGAAGAGAAATGCGTAGTTCTCGTACTATACTATGCGTTTCCTTTTCTGAATCTCTTGCTCCTTTACTTTTCACAGAGCCAAAGTGAACATGCCGCCTCTTCTTATTGGACGCGATGCGGTTTTTGATGCTTTTACTCGGATGTTAAATCGCTCGCAGTTTCGTGCTATACGTGTTTATGTATATCATTCGTACTGAAAGTGTCGGCTCAAATCGATCTAAGTATTCATTTGTTTTCCTTTTGGAACTTTTGTAGCTGATAGGCTCCTAGAGGATTTCAAGTTGAATGATGATCTTATAGGTGCGGTCAGTTTTCCAGGTACTCCATGCTTTTTTTTGTTTTTAGTAATTTTCTCACAGTTTACTTGACAGCATACTGCAATTTTAGTTGAACCTAATTGGCTTTGCTTCCACTGTAAATGAAACTAGGAGTTAATTCAAATCATTTATTTATTTATTTATCTTCCTGCTGTAGAAACATGCAACATATCCTTTGCTGTTGATGTTAAAGTCTTGCTTTGGTTATTGATTTACGAGTAGTATATAAGTGACACTAAGTTTTTGCCTTAGTTCTATCCATGGTAGCTCTACTTAGTTATTGCATGTGGTGTTCTTTTATTTCAATTGTTTGGTTTATTTATTTGTTTAATTATAAATAACTAAAATAGATCAATGCGATAATTAATATGTCAATATGTCATGCACTGATAATATATGTGTATATTTGATTTTTCTTTTTTCATTTGTGTTTTGAAACAACTGCTTTTTAGTGCTTGTATTTTCACAGTAAATATCATAACCAACAAAAAAATTAGTTAAATTTCATTTTAAATTCAGACAGGTATAATTCTATTTGATGCTCATCAAACAAAGCAAAGCTGATCTTTCCTTCTTATCTTAATCACTCTCTTCTTATGTAAAATCCTTCTTTAACTCGAAAAATTCAATGAATTCATTGTTGTGTGTGGCAGTTTGGACACTTTTCATTCTATACTTTGTTATATAGGTATAGATCAAAGTGTATATGAACCAAGCACTTTCAGAACAAGGCATGTTTGTGTAATTAACCAGCCCAATCTCAAGTTGCTTTTGATAGAGTTTGTAAGCATAAGCCATGATTCCACTTATCGATGAGTAGTCCATGAGTACAAGCCAAACAAAAATACAAGAGGTGTTTGTTCTATATTAAGCTAAAGATATCTTAAAATCTCAAAATTTGTAAAATTAGCTTTGCTTGAGATTTCTTGTTTTATTTTTAGATTTACATGGGCTTGGCTTGAGCTTGATCAAGCTTTTTCTAGAGGTGCTTGGCTGATTTAAATCCTTATCATCGGAACATTTGAGTTTGATTGCGATAGGTTTAACAAAACAAACTACAATGCCCTGAACACATATTTGAGCTCATTGCATTACTTAGTGGTGAAATCTACACATGGAACTTGAATTAGAGTTCAAGCCCAAAATAGTTATCTGCTTTGTTGCATATGGTGTGTTTAAACTCAATCATATACAAGGAATTCAAGTCACAATCCTTATATTCTACTAATGTGGGAAAAAAACCAGCTCGTTTGTGAACATATAAGTGATATTATAAACAATGCCACTAGATGGAGGTGAAAACTTGTAGTAGATAAAGTTGACCCTTTTTCGTTTTACTTTTTCATTCTATTTTCGCATTTCTTGCTTTAATTCAAGAATTCTCTTTTGTTTCAGTTTAAGTTTATAAATAAATACTTTTACTAACAATTGTTACTCAACCAAACCATTTGTTTCATTAAATTTAATTTTGTCTATATTGTCAAAACAAATCTTATATACTTTTTCTTTACTCATTTCTACTTTTTTTTTCATTGCTTCCTTCACTTAAATACACTAACTTTACTATGAAAGGGAAGAAATCAAAAGTGGAAAAAAATACAAAAGATATGAATAGATAGATAACTAAATGAAGGGGGAAAAAATCAAAGCTTTTGGGTTTACAACGAAATAAACCTATAAAACGTTTAGGAGAAAAAGTTAAGGGGAAATTTTGAACATGGAACATGATAAATAAAAATAGAGTAAAAAAAGCTAAGGGCATGATTAGTTATAGTTTTTTCTTTTCCATTTTTTATCTCCAAATTTTCAACTATCTTTCGATTTATAAAATACAATTTTTTGAAATCTAATTATTTTCTTCATATTAAAATACAAATGCTAGTAGTAAGGCACAATATGACAATAATATCTAGCGGTGAATGGTGATTGTGGTATGGCAATGCAGGTATGTGTGGTCATCAAGTTGGGTTGGGTGATATGCAAATCTTATTTTGGATATCCAAAAAAGTTTGAGTCATGTTTTTGTGACCATATATCTGAAAATAATTCGGATATGTCCAATTTGGGTGAAAATATTTCACTTATTGATTTATATATTATAATTTTTCACTTCGAGTTAGATATATGTGAAATTTTAACCCCCGAAGTAGGCAAATAGTAGTTGGTGGAAATGAAGCTTTGATTGTTATGGTGGTGGTGATAGGTGCTAGGTAGGTGGTGGATATGGTGGGTAGCAGATAGGTGATGATGGGATAGGTAAATAATGGTTTGTGAGTAGGTAGGTAGGTAGGCGAAGGTAGGAGTTGATAAATAGGTGATGTATAAATTTGTAAGTGGTTATAATATTGATTTTAGGTTAAGTTATGTGTGTTTTGTATTTGAAATTTTTTCAAAGCATGAAAGAGTTGTTACCCCGAATTCATTTGTCAAGTTGGATCTACAGTTTTCCATTTTGTGTTCTAATTTGGAAAACATGGATTAACATGTTTTCCATTTTTCTAGAAAAGTATATAATTTTCTAGTATAAATATGCCCTAATGCTTTAGGTATGGCAAAGTGTACTATAAAATTGTTCAAGAGGAATAGGAAATTTTGATATATTAAAAAAGCAAATACAATAAGCAACAAGTTTGTATATTACTCCGTATCAAGCAAGAAGTAATGTGAATTATGAAAGAGAATATTGCATGAATGTGAACCGTCATGGAAATGAGAAATTTACATTGCATAGAAAACAGGCCATAAGCATTTTAAATATCCGTGCAGTTTAGACTTTCTTGTTACTCTCTAGCCTTTCATAGAGCAATCTGATGAAGCTTGTCAGCAGTTCAACTCTACTTGTTACGCACTTTAGTTTTTTTTTTTTTTTTTTTTTGTAGAACTATATGATTATGCTTTGCCATGTGTTGCATTTTAATGTAAGAGCCATGCCACCTAGCTGCCAAATTGTTTTCGTGAATCTTCATTCTGTGGAAACTTGATTGCACCATTGTACTTTCACTGTTTTTCAATACCTGCATTTTGTACAAAAACATGTTACTAGCTTAGAGAGTTGTTTGTGGAAGCTGGAGCTATCAAATAAAACTTTAAATTTTTTATGGGGGCAGGGACTAGATAAAATGCATCTTTCAGTAAGTCACCTCCTTTCAATGTGTGTTTGATTTAGTATGGCTCAGGTATGTTTAACTTGATATTTTCTTATAATTTTGTAGATGATTGGATTGATTGTTTGGGACACTGGGTATAAAATAGTTTTTAAAAACTCTGTTTGTGGCACCCTGGTAAAAGCTCTGTTCGAATTGCTCTTTCATCATTCTGGATCTAGGGAAGGAACACATTAGCAAGTAACCTCTGTTTTGTTTTTATTTTAAATGTTTGTTCCCATCGTGATTTGTCAGCAGATTGTTGTTTTAATATTCAAATTCTTTGGAGGCAAGACAGACTATCTAGGGTGTGTCCTGCATTTGGTTGAAGACAGTAATTAATTAATTGCCTTAGCAGTCCTTGTTATGTGTGTGTCAACTTTTTTTGTTTTTTTCTTTGGCATCTCTGGGATGCTTACATTTCTATAATGTGTTGGTAATATTAGTGACCTTCACATGCATTTTATGAGAATTTATGGATTGCTGTGTACACTTTCTTTATGCTGAACTACATACATTTTAGGTTCTTTTTCCATCATTTTGTTGTCCTCTAGTTGTGATGTGCAGATAGAAGAAATAGTGACTAATCTACATTAATGATACATTATATTTGCTAAGATGGTGTAGCTAACAGCTTTCTGTTGCATTTGCGTTTCCAGTTGAGCACTGAATGTGAGTCAACAAAATGTGCTGAGTGGATTTTGTTAAAGGTTTTGCTCTATGCTGTGTGGTTGGGTGCTAGTGCAAGGTACATCTAGTTGTTAACTAATCTCTTGCTGTGCATGCTATCATGGATTCATTACATTTCTTTTAGATTGTTCAATTGTGTGTATTTTTTTCTGCATGTATATCTTGGAACTTACATGTCTGGCACTTCAGTTCAACAGAGACATAACTTATATTTCTAATGCACTTACCAATAGAAAATGAAAAAGAATATGGTTATGAAGCACTGGATAATATGTAGTTCCTAGTATGATTGCAGTGCTCAACATTCATTTTTATTTAGTCATCATGACATAGGTAACTATACTTTGGTTACCTCGCAGACCAAACCTGGTTGCACAAACCATGTCAATTGAAGTGTTCCTGGACAACCTTTGGTTCTTATAAGATCCTTACAACTGAGTTATAAATTTGTGACCATGGAGTTTGATTCAGTGAAATGGATTGTTCATACACTCTTCTGGAGTCAGTATCTTTTCCACTAGTGCAGTTGTAATCTGCAACATTTAGAGTAAGACAAGTCATCGATAGGTTATTGTTAGTGTTTTATTGCAGTAAAGATGCAGTTACCCTAATTCCGTAGCTCCTGATGTGTTCTCAGAGTTTTGTTGCTGTGGTTGGCAAAGCTGGAGATTGACAGGTACATGTGGGTCCTCATTAATACTTAAACCGTTAGTAAGGATGGCATTCCTGCTTATTCCATTCTTGCCCCTTGATCCATAAACCTGAAGTGCAAAGAAAACATCTTTGCTGAGGGTCACAGGGGGGAGTGTTCACCTTACTTCTTCATCCTGGTATAGGAGAGTGGAAGAAGGAATTTGATTTTCTAGAAGGATAATTCAGGTTTCCATTTTTTGCTTATTGTGATACCTTCTTATATAATTCCAGGTTTTCCTCACGAATTAGGTTTACCTTGTTATATAGTTCCAGGTTTTCTTGATGTATGAGACTTCCCTGCAAGGAAGAAAATAAATTAGAAATTAATGGCTTTTCCTTTTTAGTAAAATGTGGAAAAGCAGTAGCTGCAGATTTGCTTGGTTGACCTTTTGGTTTAGTTCATGTATCTCATCAAGTAAAATTTGGTCCTACAAAATGCAGTTATGTCAGTGCTCATAATGTTTACTATATGAGTCTTTTTGTGAGAAATTGGAGTTTCTGACCTTTCTTGTACGGACACCACGAAGACTCATTTCCAGCTGGTTCTCCAAGCTTTGTAAATCTTTCACACTCAGACCAGTAAGTTCTTCACCCATCATTTGCCTATAATCACCATTGTTGACAACTTAGGTCTCTATTTGTGTCATTTAGGTCTTTTAGAAATCATGAAAAGAATTTACTAATGCTCTGAGTTCAATGTAAGCACCGAGGTTATCGGTGCCTATTACCGCAAGCACTCTGTTACATATAGAATATTGTCTAAAGCATGGGAAGGATTAGCAATGAATATAAGCAGAGATTGCTTTGAAAAATAAGGGGCAGAAGTGACTTGCACCTCTCTTCTCTCCTCTGTAGCTTAAAGAAAATATGAAATAATATGCAGAAAAAGAGTCTTTCTTATATTGACTGATTAATATTCTTCTCAACAATATTCTCACATTCACTTTCAACAGCATTCATACAACTGTCTAAATGTGCCAAACTAGTTTTTTATTAGCTACCTTTTGCTTTAGTGAGTTTGTCTTAGAGTGCACTTATTTTCTTCTTTTTAACCATGAAATTAGAAGCTAGAGTCTCATTCCAAAGTAGCATGCCTTCAGATAGATAGGAAATTAGGAATCATGGAATGTAAGCAAAAGAAAGATTTACCGATGATTTTCCTGCAAGTTTTGCAGTTGTTGCCTTAGCATGGCTGCTTCTCTTTGCCAGAACTGTAAATCATGAAAAAACATATGTATTGATCTAAAATATCTTTCATTTGCATGTAAAGTGGATAATGTCATTTGCAGTGTGAAAGAGGAAATCATATAAAACTACAAATGTGTTCAATCAAAAGTAGAATAGAACTCAGGCTTATCTCATAATTCATGCATCTGCATATATGTTTCAGGTTGAAGTCAAATGATATGTTTGCATTTGCTGACTCTTTTCTTTAACCTTGACAAGATGGTCTGTGTAAGGTCACACCTCTGGCAGAGCTTCATGGCTATTTTACTTCACACTTGCATTGAACAAATCAGCATATATTGATCGGGTTTGCATTTGCTTTGAAGATAAGAGCTCTCTCACCATTGTCTTTATATAATGTATTGTTGAAATTTTCATGTCTGATTTCAAGTATTTCATAGGCATGACTTGAGGTTGATGCTCAAATATGATAGTGGAAATTGGTTGAAACCTATTGGTCCTCTGTTACTCCAAATCTCTTTTTAAAAGAAATATTCTAAGAACTCAATTACTCAAAATCCTGCAATTGTTCCTGTAGTCAGAGGTTAGTCCTAACTCCTAAGTAATTCAAATTGTTTACACTTCTGAGAGCTAGGAAAACTTTACTAATTCTAGATTTCTAGGAAATTGTTGTACTATATACCTATAGGGTTTTGGGTGAGTGCAAATGGGGAGACTTTGAAATTATTATTGATGTTGAAGGAAATTTTATGTATAATTCTAGACGACAGCAGGTTGGAAAACAAATTAGCAAAGTTCTAGGAAAATGAAAACATCAGGTTTGAAAAGGAAAGGTCTTTCCAGGAATTAGAGTCCATCTCCTTGATCCCTGAAAATTACTTCTCTGCTCAGCCATATGTTCTGTATGGCCCTGAACTCAACCTGGGGAGAAACCTTGAATATACATGTAATGATTTATGGATATATGGGAGGCTATGATACAAATGCTGTTTCAGTTTAGCAGCAATTTTGGTCTCATATTACTTCTGAACATTTCAGATGTTCAATGTTTCTTCTATGCTGCCTCTTGTAATCGTGATCTGTTAAAGAACGAACAATTTTTTTAAAAGGAAATTTTAAGTTCTTCCACTGCATCTTGACTTCATAGTGACCTCCCTATATACCGTCAACATCTGCTTAATGATTGGGTGACAATGCAGAAAGGTTAGAAGAACTAGATATCTTGTGAGTTATCTTCCCTCGTGTCTTTCAGCCCTTCATGTTTAACTCCCTGCATCTCAGAGTAAGGATTTTGTACTCTGGGTCCTGTAACTTAAATTTATATGCCGGATACAAATTTTCGTTTTCAAGCATTCATTTTTTGATAAATCCTTCAGAGCTGAACCACTGCCCTCAATGCAGCTCCAACATGGTAATCAGGAGGGTCTTATTGCATGCCATCAAGGGATATTTAGAAACTATAAAAGAGAAGGTTAGATTATATTTGAGGTCCCTAAAATTTTGTCAGTGTTCTAGTTGTAGCAATTAGAATCATTGGACTTGATAGTTTGTGTGCATCTCATATTCATTAGCGGGCATCTTAGTTTAGCTAGTAGCTTAAAGTTCATAATATCCTTCTTGCTTTCAGTGGTTTTGTATCCAAATATTGTCCGGGTTGTATACTGGTAGTGTTGTTGCTAGGCTCCTATGTAGTCACTTGCATATATTTTCATTTTGCAATGAGGAGAATATATGCTTGTATATGGACAGGAATAAAATGAGTAGAAGATTACAAAACCTCTTAAGGAGAACTACAGTGTGCTATTATCCAATCTATACACTATAGCATGGCTTTAAATTATGCCAAACAACTCTCAATAGAAACGTAACCTCCTGGCCTTGTACCCAGGTGGGTATGAATTGGTCTTTGTTGTGGGATTTGAGGATTTAACATAAATGTGAATTTCATTTGCAACAGTCCTTGAGTTTACTAGTAGGGCATTTGAGACTTTGAGTATCTTGTACGGTGAATTTTGATCTCTTTCTATCTGCCCTATTTGAAGGCATTCTTTCAACAGTGACCTGTTTAGGTTCCAGGCCCAAACCAGATGTTGAGGTCCGGTTTGTGAACCTTCTTTTCTTCTTTGAAGATTTTCTTTAATGGCTATTAACCAGAACTGACCCTGAACTGGAACCATATAAGTCCGGATTCCGAACCAAGACCAAACATTAAGGTTCAGTTTTGGTTCACACAGTAACAGTTCAGGCTGAACCAGAACATCCGGATATTTTGTTAAGGTTTAATTTCCTATGCTTTATTACCTTTAAATTCTACTTTTCTGCTCAATTAGTTAGATAAATGTAGGAAGAAGTTGATATAACAACTTTCCCCTTAGAGGGAATAAGTTTTTATGTGGATGCTATTCAGGTGGAATTACATTAAATACCAGCTTAAGTTTTGTGCCAATCTAACTGAGTAGTTTATAAGAGAACAGTAGAAATATGACTAAAAAATCAAATCAATCCAAAAGCTATATGTATTCTTTGTTTCCATGTTTAGAATCTCAAAGACTCTCACAGATAATCATATCAAGCTGGATAATTGGAAAGCAATTACTGAAAATTACCTTGACCTCAGAAGTTTGATTTGCCAATTGGTAATCCTCCTCCTTTACTTTCTTGTACCGATCAATCACTGACCTCATGCTGTGAAAATTTTTTAGTACAATATTATTGGGATTTATCATCTAATATGTACTGATTCTTAATAATAAGAAAAGATCTATCAGGTATGGCATTTTATATTTTGCTACAATATTTGTTTACTCTTGCCAACGTTTTAGATTATTCTGTTCTTGTCAGAGGAAGAAATACATGACCTTAGTCTCCAATGTTATAAGTTTTGAGGCATTGAAAATTGTACTTTTGGTTAGACCACTATGACAATTGACAACTCCTATGTGTTAACCTTGGTTATCTTTTATTCGTGTTCCATAAAGTTATTGAGTCTAGTTAATACAATTCGTATTCTATTCCTTACATATTTCATTTTTTATGGAATAGTATTCTTATTCCCTCAAAATTCATTCCATGAACTAAACGTGCTATTAGTTTATTCGAGATCTATATTTTTAAAATTTTTAATTGCTTTTAGAACTGTTACAACTTACAATATTAACGATTTTCACATTTGTCATATTTCAGCAAAACTCTACTGAATGTACATAGTTTTTTTTTTAGTATTCAAAATTCTGAGGGCAATTGATATCAGCAGTATCTCAGAAACAGCAAATAGAGTAATGAAAAGAAAACAAATAACAATCATGAGTACTCCCCAGCTTGCACTGTAACTAGTTGAATAACGATTTTCTTATTTGTCATATTTCAGCAAAACTCTACTGATTGTAAATAGTTTTTTTTTTAGTATTCAATATTCTGAGGGCAATTGATATCAGCAGTATCTCAGAAACAGCGAATAGAGTAATGAAAAGAAAACAAATAACAATCATGAGTACTCCCCTGCTTGCACTGTAACTAGTTGAATATATTTACCGAATTGAAAGCATTGTTATTGACAGTGAAATCTCAGAAACTGCACTTTACTATTTGAATATATCTATCAATATATGTATGATGTACTGTTAATTCCTACACACACACACACACACACACACACACACACACACACACATATATATATATATATATATATATATATATATATATAAAGAAAACCATTTCTAGTTGCTTCGTGTGGGTACTATCTAAATTTCAATTGATTGCTCCATGGTTTCCATAAAATTCCGTAGCGATATTATTGAAGGACTACCAAAGGTTAGCCTTGTATACTTAGTGGTTGGGTCGCCAATTTTACATCAAAAGAGGTTATGGAAAATTGTAATGAAATTGACCAAAACAAAGAAAATATACAGAATTGTTTTCAAAAAAAAAAAAAAAAAAAAATATATATATATATATATATATATATATATATATAGAATGGATTTAAAAATTTTCATTCAAAGTGCATTAGATTAGTATACTTTGAAAAAAAATCCTCACAAAAAAAAAAAGTATACTTTGAAAAAAAAAATTCCCCATTTTAAAAGCAATCTATTTATGGTATATATTTATTTATATATTATATCAAAGAAAAACAAATTGTTTCATGTTACTTGTTAAAAAAATTAACCCTTTACCAACCAAAGCAGAGTAAATCTCCTGAAATAATCGGCAAAACACTATAAAAAAATAAATAAAAATGCTTGGGGCATGTTTAATATGTACTTTAATTTAATTTTTTTATTTTTTTTTTTTTAAAAACAGGGACATGTTTAATGTGTACTTTCACCCCAAAAAAAAAACTTTGAACTTTATTTTTTCATTTCAAGCAAAATTAGAAACCATATTTTGCATGTGATAAAATTATGTTTAATATTTAATATTAGTTTTTCATTTTGAACAGAGAAGATATCCAATTTATATTTCACACACACGACTTGTATCTCTTGCATGAGTCTTCAGCATGACAAAAACTTGTGTGAGACTACCTCACGGACCTCAATCTGATCGACTCGTGAGACGGGTCGGATCTTTGATTAATGAGATCAAAGATTTGACCCGTCTCACGGATTGAGACCTGTAAAACGGTCTCACACAAGTGTTACCTATTACTAGTTCAATTTTACTTATTATGTTTATTATTTATTGGTCAATCTTCTCTTTCTTCTTCACTTTTTTTTAATAATTTTTAAATTTAATTTTTTTTATTTAAAAGTATTTATTATGTAGTCTCTAAGTATATAAATTTTATATATTAATACTAAACTTAATACAGAGTATTATACAAAATTAATTTCTAAATAACTTCAATCAAGCCTCGTTAATTGAATTAGACATATAAAATGGAATGAATGGGCTAGACAAATTCTCTTATGATGAGGCCATCTCACGGATCCTCATTAGTGAAATGGATCGAGTTTTAAATAAGTATTATATTTTCTCACATAAGTATTACAATTTTCTTCATAAGTAACTCTTGAACTCTTAATATTACAAGTATTACATTTTTTTCCATCAAAAGTATCACATTTTTCATCATAAATATTACACTTTCTCTTATGAATAACAATTAAACAATTTATCCATGTTTCGTATTACATTTTTTTTTTCTCATAAGTAGCTATTCAACTCTAAATATTTACATCTTTTATTTTAAAGTATTACATTTTTCATCAAAAGTATTACAGTATACTTTTTTCTTAAAAATAACAAATAACTTGTTCATGATTAGTATTACATTTTCTAACATAACTATTACAACATTTTCATCATGACCCGGCTCGTCTCACATATAAGGATTTGTGAGACGGTCTGACATGAGACTCACTCTTCATATATCATGAATATGTATAATAATACAAAGTTCAAACACTACACAATATTACAAAACTGCATAAAATATACAGTTTGTATACACAATTAATTTTAAAATATTTACCATGTTTCATGTGTCTCGCGGATTTAGTTCTAGCTAGTTGCTAATTATAGGTTAAGGTTAACAAAAATCTGTTATGGAAAAGTCATTATAGGGCTTGCTTTTAGTTAGGGTTGTCATGATACACAAGAATTAAATAATAAACCCCAAAATTAAAAGCTAAGGAATACAATTATTTTTAATGTTGGATATGTACATTCTACATCATAAAGACTTGTACACAAACATTTATCATTATTAGAAATCTTGCATTTCCTAATTACCTTAAAATATTGATAAGAAATAGATTTTTTTTTTCCCTTTCTCTAATAAAATCTAGACAAGAGATCAAAGTTCTACTCCTTTGAAGTTCATTTATCATATTTCAGTAAAATATGGACTTAATCCTAACTTAAAGATGAACAATTTATAACTCAGCACGGTATCAATTTAGAACATTATCATTATTAAAGCTAATCCTTGTTCTAGTCTTCTAGACCAAAAGAAAGCGGGAGAGCCCCTCCCGTATGACCGCACTATTATATTACCTCAATCTAATAAGTCAAAGAAAAGTAATGGAGAGAAGAAATAGATTTACCTATATACATGCATATTCATTCATATGCAGCAGTTCACATCATTCTTCAGGGAGCAAAGAGTGAAAATGGGAAGAGGTCAACCACAAACATTTAGTTCTTCATTTATGTATATTCATTATATTCTCGTAGTTCAAATGTCAAGTCAAGATGTTATATGAAAATTCACAAATAAACTTTAATTAACCAAAAATTTACTGAATGCTCATGTTAAATGTGATCATTTGTTGATATTCAAGTGAAACCTTTTTAAATTAGTTAATAGCACCACTCCGAATCTACATTTATTTATTGTGTTTTAAAATCAATCTAACCAATTCAAGTAAAAAACAATTTAGACATAAACATTTCCCTCTATCTTTTATATATGATCTTTACTTTGGAATAGATACTAAACATGTAGGACGTAACTTAGAATAATATATATGACATCCACATGGTTAAGAGCAACACGGTAATGCTCCTGTAAGGAATTAAAGTAAGGCTATGTATGTGTCACTGGCACTCGGCGGGTTACCCTCCGACTGATCCAAAAAAAAGTATGGGTATATACATAAAGTTAAGTTCACTATAATATATGTATTTGTATGTAAGCAAATCTTTTGTAATGTTATTATATATAGTGGTCCAATTTTTCTAGTATTGGTATTCTACTATTCTTTAAAGGAAAGATATCCATCTCATTTTATGCCCGTGACTCAATTCAATAGAATTGACTCAGTTTTTTACAATTTATTTGGTATAATATTAGAAAACTTTTACGAGGCGTTTGGTTGGGGAGGGAATTACGTGGGAAAGAAATTGCAATTCTATGGGAGAAAATAATGTGGAATAAAGTGCTAATCTAACCAAGTTGCTTGTGGTCCACTAGTATTCATTTTGGTTCCTTATGTGGGAGGTTTAGTGTTCGAGCCTTAGTGTAGGCGAATATTGTGTATACGTGGGTGTTCCCCTTCCTTTGTAATAATAATGAAAAAAAAGTTCTAAAGGGAATAAGTAGTATAAAGTCTAAAATGCCTAAACTTATTATTATTCTAAATGACAAAATTTAAATTTTATTTTTGAAAATGTATTTAACACGCTATAAATAAACTCTAAAATTGCATAACGAAAGCAATAAAATAGATAATGGGGTTTTGAGAAAACATATTTGATTGAGGTTCGCCTACTGATTGACGTTCTGTGTTGAGAGTAGAAGAAGAAGACACACTATAATCGAAAGAGAGATGTCAAACATCAATTTTAGTTTTTTTTTTTTTAAAAAAAAAAGATGGGGTAATTTTGTCTCAAAGTTATTTTTTTTCTTCCTAAAATCCATGAAATTGAAATACCAAGGGGTGCATGGAATTCTAATTCCATGAAAATGACACCGAATTGAAATTCCATCTAACCAAATGAAAGAATTTGGAATTACTTGCCTTCAGAATTATGTGAAAATTAGTTGGGAATTGAATTGTAATTCCCTGCAACCAAAGGCTTCGTTAGTGTAATTTGACAAAATTAAATGAATATTTTTAATTTTGTCAAATTAGAAAATGTATCAGGTCATTTATTATTTTTAGAAAATGGCTCTATTACCTAAAAGTTACATGAAAATTTTCGTTAAAACACATATATTCCATATTTTTGGAAAACTTACCATAATTTTATTAATGAAATAAATACAATTACAATTTCTCACCTTATAAAATACACTAATATAATTAAAATCTTTTATAAATCAAAATCAATTTAACCCTAAGGCTAGGGACTTCCTTCTTTAATTTAAGAACAAATATACCACACACTTCCTGGCTTGGACCTCAGAGCCAAGGCTAGGGACTTCCTTCTTTAACCATTTTGCCAAAGAGGTCATTGGCAGCTAGCTTGATCTTTACCATACTATATTCTAGAGTGATCTCAAAATTCTTAGGGGCTGCATGCACAACTGAGTTTTTAATTTGTGCCTAAAAATGGCAAAACCTAAGATCAAACTCAACTGAAATTAGGACACTGCTGGCTCAAATGCTCAATCACCAAGCCAGTTCAATTCACACAAGCTACGCACCGCAGCTTCAATTCAGCAGTGAAGAACTAAACATACGCCCAGTAGCTAGCACTTATCTTGACACTAATCACTGCGTATTTGCAATGCCTAAAATGTTTCTGGTCATCCATAATTCCCCCTTCTAAATGTGCATAAGATAGACGCTAAATCATCTGAACCGCTAAAGTCTAAACTCTAAATTAAACTCTAAACACACCATTATGGTCGCTAAAGCGTGATAGTGTTGTGAAATTAGTTCACACACAGGCAAAATAACAAACACAAATCATGCATTCATAATTCGCAAGCGTTCATTAATTATATGCAAATCAGAAAATCACACACTTATTCTTTTAACTAACCTACAAATTAAATTTGAACTTCAATTTTGAATCGTATCAACACAAAAAGCAATTTCCACGGTATACATATAGATCCTATCAGTTAATTGTTAAGCTTAATTTTGTTTCAAAATTATGAATTATTAATAGTTAATAAACACATAAATATATTCACACATGTATAATATAGAGGAGATCGCAGAACTACCTGGAGCTAGCGTAATCGTAGAGCTTGCCGGTGCTGGAGAAGATGATGACTCCGACCTCCGCGTCGCACAGGATGCCTAGCTCCTTCGCCTTCTTCAGCAATCCATTCCTTCGCTTCGAGAACGTCACTTGCCTGCTCGTCGAATTGTCGATCCTCCTTATCACTATCTTTCCTCTCCCCATTCGTCTCCGATCCCTCTACCTGTAGATCTCCACCTTCTCTCTCTCCCGGCCTCTTCCTACCTAGGCATACGCGGACGATCGATACATGTAACAGAAATACGTATATACGCAAATACTAGCATATCAGTGAACAAAGAGAAAAAACGGATACATCTGGAAAATTAGAAAATACATATATAGTTGGAGAATACGGCGGAAATTAAAATCTTTGGATGTATAATGTATTTCCGAGAAAAATGGAGAGAAAAAATGGAGAATAAGGCTTACTTGATGGAGACAAAAGCGGGCTTGGCAATCGTCGTTTTTCGGACTGTCTTTCAGATTTGAGAATCAGCCTATATAAGGAAAGAGCTTCTATAATTGTAAACCCTGGTAATGAAAAGCCTGGGGCGAAACCGCTTTGAGAAAACTGCTTTATGAAACCGCTTATGAGGTTCCACGTGGACCAATGGGATAGCGTAATGGATTTTATATGCGCTCATGGTCGTTTGAAAAGCGCCGACTGTCGTATGGATCATCAACACGTGGTGGTTGGGGAATTTTTATACTGAGTACTTTTTCTTCCTCTTTTGGGAATTCTCCTATGGGCAGTGGTTTCCAAATTTGCCCCTTCATGATTAGCGTACGGTGTAAACAAACAAAAAAATTCGAGGTTTAAAATGACCGTCATATTATATTTAGTGTTAACGTCTTTGATTTTCACAAAATAATCTCCTGAAGTTTGGTTAACATAAAAATATCTTTTAAGAGTTTTTTTTTTTTTTTCATATTTGAAGAAAAACATATTTTGGGGTGTTTGGTAAATGACTATTAGCTGATTGAGTTAGTAGGTTTAATTAGTTGATATATAGTATTAGCTTATTGTAGAAAAGTGTTTCGTAAATTAGCTATTAGATGATTATATACAAAATGACTTCTCAAAAAACTGATTGAAAAAAAACTACTTTAATTTGAGTAGCTTTTTGAATTTTAGCATTTCGGAACACTAAGGGTGTGTTTGGTTGGTGGGTTTTACCCATAGGAATGGGTATGAAAGTGATTGTTGTTGTTTGGTTGATAAGTTTTTAGAACACTACTATGGGTATCGAATACCCCATCAATTGAAAAACACATACCCAAATTAAATAAGGGTTTCATTCCCTTATTCATTCTCAAGCACTACTATTAGTAACCATTCCCGTTTCACCCAACTACCAAACATGTTAAATACTTTCACCAAAACCCATTACCATTACCAAGTATTTGATACTCATTCCGATTCCGATTCCTATGTGCGAACCAAACACACCCTAAGTTGTTACAAAAAGTTAATTAATCAAACACTCATATATTAAGTCAAACAGTTAATAGTAGTCAAATAAGTTAAAATTAGTTGATAGACTAAATATTTTATCAAAGAGGGCATATATTGTTTGGTTTATAGAAAATTTATTACAATAGAGAATAATTTTTCTTAAATTTAAAGAAAATAAATTTCTTGCTGTCCCTTTCAAAAAAAAATAATTTCTTCCTGTCCTTTAGTATTTTATTTTTCAAACTTTTTGGAAAAAAAGAATTATAACAGAATTCCTATATTACCCTCATATATCTTTATTATGTACGGATATTTAAGTCTTCATACAATTTATTTCCAACAATCAAACAATGAAATTAATATTTCAAGTAATTTCTTCTTCTTTTTTTTTTGTTTCATAAAAATTAAAATTCAATTCATTCTCAATTATCTTTTACAAACCAAACCGCATGTAAGTAAATCGACAAGCTAAGGCCTAATGTTCTGCTAATTTTTTTTTTTTCATCCCTAATCTGTTAACATTTTAAAATTTTTATTCTTCAGTAGAATTGAAAAAAATAATTAAATTCAACTATTTTATATTTATAAATTACAAAATTATATATAATGAATTAAGCTCTTCTTACCAAAAAAAAAAAATTACAAAATCATTTGAAATATAATTAATTTTCTCATATAGAAAATTATAAATCGATTCTTTTTGTGTGCAATAAGTGGCAATGTAATATGCGCGCGTAACTAGATTGCAGTAGGAATAGTAGTGTAGGTATGTAACTAATGGGGGAGTACATAAGTTATAATAATAAAAGGTGAGCAATCCCGGGCTTAGCAAAATGATTCAAGGGTCACTCTCAAGATATGGGGATCACTAGGAGACTAGAAACCTTTAAAAAAATGACCAGAAGAGATAAAAGCTCTTTGTAAACAAAGTGTACGGGTAGAGCTAGTAACTAAAAACTATTAGTAACATATAGACATAGTTAATTATATATTCTTAATATGTTCTCTTGCGTGTGTTGAGCTGAATACTTTTTAATGAGTCAACAATACATATACTATACATAGATCTTTTATCAGGTAGTGGAGATGTTTAAATCTATGGCCTTTTGTATGTGATTTGCTCTAATATAACAATTATGTGTTTTCTTAGCTAAAAGTTTAAATTGATAATTAGAATATATATTTATATATTATTTTTAACAGGTGTGCGTGTTTTGTATTTGAAATTAATTTCTTAAATATCATCTTTTTCTTTTAAATACATCTAAGGCGACTAAGGGATTGAAGACAAAATATAATTAAAATAATGGTCAAGTTAATCATTGAACTACATACAAAAATGCAATAAGAATTCAACTAATATATATATATATATATATAATTGACTCCATGAACAAATCAAATTATGTGTAATTGAGTAAAAAAATGACATATTCTCCAAATTAACCATTGACTATGATGTTACCATTTAATAAATTAAATTTTATTTATTTTAACAATTCTAAATATTTATTGAAAAAAAAAAACAAACAAAAAAAACAAATAAAAAAACAAATAAAACAAACAAAAAACCAACCCCCTCCCCTTTATCTTTGTCATAGAGGAATTGATGCATTTCGTCTCCAACTAGAGACAAAAGTAAGGGGTTGTATTTTTATTTTTTAAACTATTTTAAATTGATAAAATAAATAAATATTTAATTTATAATTAATATATATTTTAACCAGGAACATTGAAATCATCCATATCCTTTGAGAAGGCAATCAATATGCTGACTATTTGGCTAATCTGGGACAAACCGAAAAGTGGGTGACAAAAATTATAAACCAACTCCCAGAAGAAATGACCTTATTGGAAAAAAATGTTAGAAAAATTGTCACGAGAAGAATCTACTACCCTTAAGACTTTTGGTCGCTCAAGCGCACCCAAAAAAACATTAGGTATATATTTCAATTCTTTTTTATATACAATTATTTATTACTCATGCACTTATAAGTTTTATAATAGATTAATTGTATTCCAAATTTTAATAATTATTGTTAGTGACTTTTGAAGACATGAAAAAACAGGGAGGCATTTTCGGTCATTTAAAAAATGTGCCACTACAATAATTGAGAGAAAGGGTATGGGGGCAATTGCGGAAATAGCATTGCCATCGTGGCTCTGACCCCACTAATCAGTAATCAACCCAAAAGACTAGTTGTCACGTACACCAACCAAATAGTGCTGGGACCCACGTATTAAGTCTCAATTGTGTGATGGCTTCAGTTTTCGGATTTTAAGGTTACCATAATAAGGAAGTCCTAAAATTGCCCTGCAAAAATCCTAACGTTCCACGACGTATGTTTTCAGATTGTCCCCTCCTCTTCTCTCTCATAGTCTAAAACAGTAACACATTAAAATTAAGCCTCCATTACTCAATACTCTCAAAACTTTATAATCCATCCATCTCTAACAATTTAAAATAAAATATAATTATAAGATTAACAGATTGACCATGGTCAATTTGAAATAAATAAAAGATATTCATATATTATAAATTCATGAAAGCAAAAAATTAATTAGAAATTTGTACGTAAGTTTATGTCTTATTTATTTATTATGTTATTTTGTCCTCAAATTTGTAAAAAACAGTATTATCTTTTGAATTGTAATTAACTGTTGTTAATATTAATATTTGCCATAATGTTGTGGGTCTCTTGCAAAGTAGTTAATTGGATATCTCGGATTTTAAGTTTAGAAATGCAAGTACTTTAAAAACTATGAGAGAGTGCTTTGTCACCCTTGAGTTTATGAATATGATTAATTTTCGAGTATGATTTTAGTTGATTGGTCAAAAAAAATATATGAACATAAAAAATTAAAATAAATTAAGCATTAATATAATCATATGTGCATAGTAGGTTTCGTTTTTTTTTTTTTAATTTTAAATTAATAAAGAGTAAAGACGCCATAATATATAGGGGTTAATATATATTTAATACAATGCAATAGCCATTAAAAATGATCCACTTGCCTTATTAATAATAGCACTGTAATAAATTACCAAATGTCGTAAAAATCATGTTACTCTTTGTGGAAAACCTAAGCTAAAAGTGCGTAGAAAATATTATCCTTAATTAGCTGTCATTAGCATCATTGTTTATTCCGAGACCCGACGAAAGCATCCGACCATACTTGCTATGATCAATGGAAACTCCACTATATATGTTTATTATGGTTTGGTTTTAATTTGCACGTAAACTTAAAGTAGTAAGTAGTATAGCATTCCATTAAACTAAATTTAATACTTTTTTTGTTGAAATATTACAAGACTTTTTTATGGGCTATAAGTTTATTTTATGTTTAAGAAAATTATATTTTATTATAATATTGATACCTTTACTATGTAACACTATAAAAATTTTCCCTTCTCATACGTAACATTTATTTTCAATTTTCAAATTAATAAGTATTGAACTTAATAACTCAAATTTGGTATGGTCAAATGCAATAATCTACAATTTTAATCATTTTTAGAGATGATTATTTATTTATTTGTGTACATGTGCATATTGTTGGGGATATGAGTGTTAGGCTCAAACTTGGGAGTCAACTCGGAAGATCGAAGAAAGACTTTATTAAGGAAGCGTGACAAAAGAAGCTCCCGATGAAGTGGACTCACCCATAGTTAAGAGACATTAGGCCCATGGTAGTGGTTGAACATGCACAATCGACATCTCCTATAATAGGTAGGCTCATAGGCGTAGGCCACGTGCAGGCGTAGGCAATTTATATCCTACACCACGGCGCGCGTTGCACTATGCGCCCAGATGCAAAACGACGTCGTTTTAATTATTATTATTTTTTTTTGAAATTTCCCGCCCCAGTGAATGGAAGTAGTTTTTTCTTAAAAAAAAAACAAACCGCTGTTCAAGAATGTACATAATGTTATACTAGAATACACATAATGTTATACATGAATGTACATAATTATATAACAAAGTATACATACTCTTTTTAAAAGATAATACACATAATCTAACATAATACATAATAAACATAAACTTTTAACATAATACACATCAACTCTTAACATAAT